TGCTCCCAGATAAAAGACCTATACATAGTTAGGAAAATGCTCAGCGCACGCAACTATAATAACACGATTACAAAAATCGTTATCACATGTGTGTGACAAGTATCTGCACTCGAAATACATTTTGGAGCAAAAGTATTGATGCATTTTGTAATCAAGCACTTTGTGAACCTATTTTGAGTTTTGTGTATTAATATATTGTGTAGATTTTACTTAGTTCAAAAACTTTCCATTTTCAATAAATATGGCTGAAAATGGCATTGATAAAAATCTGGATTTAACTATTTTTGCTGTTTTTAAATTCAATTTTGAAAGACAATATTCAACAGAGTTAACAATGCATAGAACCTAACATAGTGTTTAATAAACAAAGCACATAAACAAGTAAATTTTAAAATAAGGAGAGTTTGTATATACATTTAAAAAAATACCGACATCTAAAGATTAATTAGGATTACTTATGAAGTGTTTTTAAACTAAATAACTCTTTATATGCAGCTGAATAAGTGTGTTTTTGTGATACTGTAAAACATCATTGAACCGATTCTTCTCTAATATAAATGTAACGAGCCTCGTATCTTCTCCTGTGATACCAATGTCTCGAATACTGTCTTTCGAAGCAAATCAAATTCCTGGGTCAAAATAGTGGCAAAAAAATGAATAATTTCAGAGAAACATTCTCAGTAAAAATAGATTTATTCTATTCCAATCCTATTCTCATCTAAACCACTAATCTACAACTATCCACTCCATTCACCTTTCTATCCATCCAATGGTTTGATTGTTTGTTTCTTATTAATAAATATAATTATATAATTAATTCATATTAACAGGGAAAAATCTAGTTCGCTCTCAGACTGATCAAACCTTCAATTTTCTCCTTATTATTGTTTTGAGCACTGGTATTTGAAACAGAAATTAATGAAACGCATATGCAAAAACTGAAATTTGCCCACACACCATTAACACGAAACTTCATTTTCCTGTTACGTTTTATAATCGTATTTGGTGACTCAGATTATGTCTGTGCAGGAATTATGTAGAATTATTTTCTGGTGCTATACATGCATAAATTTGAGTTAAATCATTTATCTTACCAACCCGAACACGTGCCGCTGTAGATAAAAATTGGCGAAGTGGCATGTTCAAAACGGTTTTGAATGCATTGTATTTCATATATTTTCAGACCAAGAGCGACATGTTTCTTATAGAACGAGAAGATCTAACGGCGAATTAAAGTCGCTAAACCTAACAGTGTATGTCGTTGAACCGTGTCACCAACGATGGTGATCACACTGGGTTGAACATGACCACGTAAAACCTAGCTTTTATTTGTTAAAAAAAGTAAATTTGAATCGGCAATGTCAAATTTGAGATTTGTGCAATACTGTCCGCATAACAATGACAGGATGGGGTTGCTCGATATTAGTGCCATGAAACGTTCCAAAATAAACAGACGTGATCGCCGCCATCGTATCATGGTTCTTTGTCAAAAACTAGTCAAATTTCGCGAATTGAAAAAGTTTTGTAGCCAATATCATTAATTATTATTTAGTTTATTCTACAAAAGGACGAACACTGGCATCTCATTGTGTTTGTTTCAACATTTTGCCAGAATGATAAATACGGCAAATCGTGGTCATTCTATTCTTACCAAACATTTAGCTACTACGTACATAATGGTATGTATTGGGAAATCTACTGATAATCGTGTTATGAATTAGTTTTCGCGTAACTGTTGACCGACTTATTTAGCTGGTTACTAGTGAATGGCTGTGTTAGATCTGTCAGCATTTAAGCTCATGCGAGGTCCTGGACGGAACTTGACTCAGTGATTTAGAACTAATTACGATATAACCGTCGCTATTCGGAATACTATTTCTGACAGTTAGTATTCGCAGTTTTTAATGTAGTGAACGATTAATCAAAAGATATGAAGTATCCAGTACTTAGTGTGATTAGCTTTATGATTGAAGGTTACGCCCTGCTTTGTAATTGGTTAAGGTTTTGGAAGTGAATAAAGTTGTTTTAGTTGGTCTTGGCGAGTACTCCACGATAGACGCAGTCCAGTCTTGGAGAGTCTTGGGGAGAGTTTTGACGCAGTCTAGAGGCAGTCTTGGGTCAGCCTTGCGATAGTCTTGGGGACTTTTCCCCAGGGCGCTGTGTCTTATAGAGTGCTCGACTGACTGACTAAGACGAGAGTTGAAACGTATTTCGTTGTGTGTGCCTTATTTGACTGTAAAGCCTAAGTGACTTTCCCGATCCCGTACCTCAAGGGGACGCGATATAGAGAGACGAGACGACATTCCCCTGACATGTGTGGAGAACCCAGAGAAGAAGGATTTCCCCCTGATAATCGCCTCATATTTAATGGACAACGTTTTAGTATGTAACAACAGTCACATGCACTAACTGTTGGTTCAGCATATCCAGCAGCTCATTAGTACCACTACACTGTAAATCTTGAAAGCACTTTCATGTGTTCACTGTTGTATTCAAAATCATGTGTATTATATAATAAAACATCTGTATTTTCTATCAAAACAGTATTGTTTTAGTATTTTTAGAGAAGTGTTTTGGGGATTTATTAAAAGACTTTTTGATGTTTAAGCACAATGTAAACACTCAAAAATAAATTAATTTTTCAAAATAAAACATGAATGTTTTACGGAGATATAAATGTGTCATTGATAAGACATTTATGAACTAATGCATCAACTTTATGCAAGCAGTATTATCAAATTTAGTAAACATTAGGATATACATGCCAACTAGACAGTCATCGAATATGGCGTAATTCAACGCATAATGAGATGAGCCATGAAATTACAGTAATGATGTAAAATGACTAATATACGATTTTTAAAAAAATGTGTTTTTTATGTGTTGAATTATGAAACACTTAAAGTGATTTTAAAGTGGGGACAAAAATGTGTCATATTTTAAAATACCTAGATTTCCAGTGTAATAATCGGTCACAGTCTGCTCTAAAGTAACAGTCTCATGTATTTACTATAACAAATGTAATATATACTAAAATAATAGATAAATACATTTTCATTTCTGTAAATATTCTTTGATATTGTTAATTTCAATTCATATCTACTCATGCTATTTGTAAAATTTCATAACATGAAAGTCAGGTCACCTTTAAATGTTATAACCATTTTATACTTGAAATATACACTTAATTTATATTAGGGTATTCCGTCAATTTATAACTAGAGTCAGGTTACAATGTCATGTGACAGTCTTATGTAGGGAAATTACATTTACATGATATATATAATTGAAATGAACACATTTATCTGTCTAACATGTAACATGTCGAAAGGCATCCAATCCGATAAAGCCACGTGACATGATTTTCGGCTGTACTAATAGAGTACAAACAATTGAAATCACAACCTGATGCTTGAGGTGGTAGTGAAATGTTGTTGACTGGCTGACCGGTAAAGTATTTAATTTAGTCGGACTTGATGTCACATTTGATGAGTGACATATACTGTGAAGTTTACCTTAAAGTGACGGTCTATAGTAATTTCTCTGTACATGATATTTTCATATTGCTGATGGCGTATTGCATTAATCTATTATATGTCCTATCAATGCACGCTAATGACAGATTTATGTCAAAAAAGTGCATTTTTGCATGTTTATAATGTGCTTTTTTATGTTTTAATTGCTACGACAAGTACATTTTCGAAAATACTAAAACACTACTGTTTTGATAGAAAATACATGTGTTGTATAATACAATTATTATTATTATTTTACAAAGTCCAAATAAAACAAACGAAATAGAGTTATAATGACTTTCAGATCTGAAAATCCTAAGTGTGTTTTTTTTTCATAATTTTCATCCAAAATTACCTAATACTAGGGTTTTCAGTGACGTCATGACCTTGATCTGAATCAGTGACAGAAATGGACCACAGTTTGTTTTTGTTTGGTTTTATGAAAGATTATCTCTGAAATCTTGAAAAAAGTGGTCAGAAATGTTGTTGTATATATATCTTCAAACTGTAAAATATGCATTCCATTATAAAGAGCCATCACTGAAATGCCGGGTCACAAAGTTGTGAAGATCAGTGAAAAGACTGTGCAGTTACTGTTAATACATTGTTTGCCCTGTGTTTAGTTAGTGACATTTCCATATCTACTTTGAGCTTTTCCCAAAAGATTCGTATGATACTTACCAAGGTCCAATATGTATTTTGTAGATATAGCTTACAATAGTTAGGATAGGAGTTATTTTTCGCAGGAGAAGTTGTTGGACTTATGAAAACGCCCTCTACCCTATATCGGAAAGCATGTGCTATTCATTCACCTGAATGAGAAATTATAGGTTTTACATATGCATAATCTATTTCTAGGAATGCCGCAATGCCGAATACTTGCATTATTTTGTATTACTGACTGCATCGTTAAAATGCTATACAGATTCAGGGCCTATGGGGCACAGTAATGATTTAATCATCTGGAGGCAATCTGCCTAAGATTGTCAGAAATATAATAGGAAATCACATGATCTTTTCAAATTCATTTGACATTATCACATACTAATTTTACTTTTAATGGAATAATTCATCACTTGTGTCACTCAGGATTGATTATTTCACACAACTGCAATCATATGTCAAATGAAGCCGTCTAAACATGTATCTGTACAAACAATGGCATACGTAAATTGCACGCATCCAATCAGTTTTTGTTTACATTACTAATACATGGCAACATTAATAATGTATAAATTAATATGCACGTCTTTCTGAAACGTGGTGACAACGCTTCCTTGTTTGTATTTCTATTGTCGATAATGCCAAAGGTATCAGTAGTTGACATAAATCGAATGCACAATTTGTAATGTCACGCTGCATGGGCTGATAAGTCGTGTTAGAATCAGAACAGTGCGTGCTTCTCAATACTGCTCTGATTATGTGAATATCGTTATGTTAGCTCCAGAATTTCCCCTCAATGAATACTACCACTATAATTTGAGTATGTCGTCTTCATTCAGTACTGACTACCATGACGTCAAACATTCAACGATTACATACACCATAGCGTGTTTTCTAGGATTAATATCAGCTGTTACCATACTTGGGAATTTCCTGACCATCGCTTCATATTTCTTGGACAATTCTATAAAATCCAACAACAGTCACATTTACTTGGTAAACCTGGCGATTGCGGATCTCTTGGTTGGTTGCATATCTATGCCGTTAGGGATAGCTTATGACTTCAATGTCGATTGGCTTTTCGGTGAAACATTCTGCAAGATGAGGTCTGTTTTTGACTTATCAGTTCTACATGCGTCAGTGTTTTCTATTGTGCTTATCAGCTGTGATCGATACTGCCTTGTTACCATGGATATGCGTTATATCACAAAACACTCTCGCAAGCAGGCTTTATTTAAATGTATAACCACGTGGATTTTAGCTTTTGGCATCACGATTGTTATGGTTTATGGTTGTCCGTTATTGGCAGGTATTCGCTATACCACAGATTATTCACGCGAATGTTATACTGAAATTTTTAAATATGCAGTATGTTCATATATCGGCACATTTTTGTGTTTCGTTATACCTTTGATCATTCTACTTTTTCTAAATATATCAGTGTATGTTAATATTAAAAAACGTGCAAGTAGGGTGCATGCACAACCAACAACAATTGCCGATTCTTACCAGGAAGAAAGAATACAAACTGTGTTTGCAAAAGTCACACCAACTGAACTCGAGCCACCGACGACTTCCGACAGCAGTCAGCGAACATATCGAAATATGCTGCGGAACAATGTACATGTGGTAGGTAAGACGAATCCGCTGTTCAATTATAGTGACGCCGTTGCCACACAGCCAAGACACCATAAACGAAGACAACTGATGCGAACAAATGCCATTGACACGAAACATCGAAAAGCAGCCAAGACCCTTACCATTTTGGTTGGGGTGTTTTTAATATGTTGGACACCAGTCAACGTGGCTGTAATTCTCTATACATATTGTTCCCATTGCATTACACCTTGGGGTTATAGTATATTAATATGTCTTTTGTGGTTCAATTCAACGGTCAATCCTATTATTTATACGCTTTGTAATTGTAAATTCAGGTACAAGTTCAAAAGACTGTTATTGTGTGACATTAGAAAAACATAATCGTTATACCAATGTAGGATAGAATACTACTCATACGTTTTTGTCTTACATGGAAGAAAATTTCAATAGCGATTTCATATTGTATTATTATAAAAAATGACTCGCAAAATTCATGGCAAAAAAAACATTTGTATCACCTGCCGTTATTGATTTGTTTAAATGTGAACACAATAAAGAGCAGACAAATCCAAAACAAATTTTAATGAAATATGATTGTAGTTTCGATATCATGTTTCCATGACAACTACATACATTCAAATATTTGTAGGCATATTCATGTGACATATTCCATTTATTGTATTATCTTAATGATTCCTAGCTGAATAATTTGTTATAAATATTTATTTGCATCGAAATATGCAGTCTGATTCAATCTATTACAATGAATGAGATTTGGCCTTTGATTCTCATGTAATTACCAAGAAAGGGTATTTATTTAATACTAATTTGGTGGAGGTGTGGCTATGGTTACAATAGAAAACGAATTTTAATGTCTGGAATGATTTATAACTAGCAAATGTAATGTATGGATAGATTGTCATGAAATGTTCAGGAGATGTACACAAACGAACGCATTAAACTGTACTAAGATGTGCAGGTACGGTTGATTTTTCATTTATTACTAAAATATATTTCATCGTGTAATTCTTGACAAGCTCCAATCAATTAGATGTTGGCTCGCCATGGAATCTTCCATTTACGTTAATGATTTTTCATTTATACTTCAAGCATTCATGAGCAAAGTATAAGGAAAAAGATCGACAAAATATGATTGTGATGTTGCCGAAAAAGCTGCGAAATGGAAACATATTCGATATAGTAAACAAGTTTACTAATTTACTTATTATGTGTATCATTAAATTTAGTTCTTGATAGATGAAGGAATTTTTGTTAAATGGTTAATATTATAGTTTAGTGAAACTAGTGTAGATTTGTATCTTTTTGTATCTTCTTTTTACGAAATTAAATAATATTGGTTATTAACAAATTGGTTAACTCACAGGAATTTTACTCCAAACTGTTCATAATTTGTTATTATTCTATAAACGACTATTTGCGTATTCGTATCAACCCTCCCGTAGAAGTGTGAATACCTACCGAGTTAAGAACATATCCAGCTAGTTACTCGTCGAACTTGATAAGCGCTTAGCTGTTGCTATTTGGTCAGATAAGAGTAAATCAGTCGAGAAATCAGATAAGTGTGATTTGGGATCAATGTACTGGTATGGTATTTTATGAATACATTTTCAAAATAAAATATTGTAATTTAAGTCACATTTGAACGTGATTTTGATATCATTTTTTTTAAACGTTCTTGGGGTTTTTAATATCGAATTCTAGAAGAATGACATCACAGTATTTCTGAAGCCTCTCTTTGATAGTTTGAAAATTAGATAAACATTTGAATGATCTTGCAATAAATATAACAGCCTACGTTGTTTTTATGATATTTATGATTATAGGTCCGAGTTCAGTTCACACCATTTTGAGCTGCCATTTAGTGGACAACAAGACTGTTTAAGGTAGAAGGTAGCCTGACAAGGTCGCGTGAGTTGAGCCCTTTGCGGTGCTCCAAACAATATTGATGCAGTTTGGCCGACGAGGGCGCCACTCACGTCTACATGTCAGGCTAAGGTGGATGGGCGCTTGCTGTGATCTCTATTTCTAATCCCGTTTCGTGGTTTTTGTGTTCGTTTGACTGTGATTAAATACATTCAAATTAATCAATATAATGTGTGTATAATATATATGTATATTCGAATAGTCAATGAGAAAGTCTGGCTATGAGCAGTGATTTCGCTTTTTCTGTCTGTCAGAATTATTAATAGACAATTTCTGTTTGAACACAGATGTCATGACATTTTAACTTTTTAATATTTAATATTTCTTTACTGTGTATCAATGCACCTCCTAATGGAATAATCCATACATCATCCAATTACTTGCTGCGTCACTAATGAACAACTTCATGACAAGTATGAATCCTTTGTGTATATCTTAATATAGAGACATGAAACACAATAAATAAGAAAAATCGATGTCACAATGATTACCTGTATATAAAGGCATAAAACCAGTTGTGTTAGAATTTTCTGAAAATCTATATGAAGTACATCAGAATAATTTGTTGATTTGTTATGTTCATTATTTATGTTCATTAGTAGTGCATGTTACAAGTTATTGTGGATCATTTGCAGTCGGTTGTGTACCGATGACATTGGCATGGCATATGACATTGTCATTTTTTGGCTTTTCTGCGAAACACTCTGCTGGATGTGTTCTATAATCGATCTATCCATTCTATATGTATACATTTTATCTGTTGTGCTCATTAGTTGTGATTGATATTACCTCGTCGCCATGGAGATGGTTTATATCAAACAAACTTATTTGCAAGTCTGCTGCATCGATTATTCACGCGAGGGCTATGCCGAATTATTTAATTATGGCATACGTTCATATATTTTCTATTTTTCACATATAGCGACATAACTACGATGACGATCAATGTTTTTTTTAATACCATGTAATACTTGATTTGATATATATATATATATATATATATAAAATATACACGAAAATATATTCAATTGTTTCGTTTCAAATCATAGATTCATATTTCTGTTCCATAATTTATTGCATCGTGAAACTATTAATTTATAATAAATGTCATGTCACCTTCAAATGCAAAAAGTGAAACGAAAGCCATTTTAACATTTGAAATATACATTAGTACAAACAATTAGATGATAAGTATATAGGCGACGTGTATTTATAATTCAAAATTTCAATCATAATTTAAAACCACTTTGCAATGTGATCGTGATATAGATGATGTGTACTACATAATAATAGTTCCATATGATATTTAGACCAATAATATTCATAAAAGCAGAGTCGAAATGTTAAAAGTTATCGTAGTTTTGTTCTTTGTTGTAACTATAAATTATTGAATCTTCATATGAATTCTATTTATCCGGTCAAAATCTGGTGGCAGCAATGTTTGTTTTTATTATTAAAGAACGCTTACGCGCGTAATCATTCTATATTTGGAATTCGCATTTCCTCATATGGTAGGATGAAAATACCCCGTAAAATACTGCAAAATTACTGCACAGTGCGCGTCGGTCGATATTCTCGCTGTACTGTATTCGTGCATACTTTTCGGTATCCTCGTAATAACATATTATTGCATTTGTATAGCTAGACCATTAAAATAACAATGTATTTAGATTAATTGCGACGCAATACTAACAAACTAATTTACTAATGTAAATATCATCAACAATGTATTGTACATGAATGTAAGCGATCGTCTAGATAATTATTTATGAATAAAATACATACATTTCACGGTCAGCTTAATTTACATTGCCATAGTCGTCCGAGGCCAGATGTACTAACATTCATCACAACTAGTTACGTTTACATTTCCAGAGTACAGCGTTTTGAGCAACTGGTTGCACATTTCAGTCTATTCGGTTCACACGTTTATGTTGATATACTGTATATTACAGCTACAACTATAACCCCTCTCCGCAAAACCATTTTCAGTACGCATTATTGTGCACTTGTTTATTTCAATTCAAAGTTGTAGTATGGATCATGTTATTCAAAACGTTGTTAATCACATCCACAGTGAGCGCTTACTGATCTAGAGACTATTGTTTCACTATTATACGAGAATATTTACTCTAACGCTTTGTCATTGCGATAATATCACCCACTTCGATCACAGCGAAAATAAACTAGCCTAAATAAACATTGATTTCTGACAATACAATATGATAATCAGGAATAATCGTTCATCGTCATGGGCATACACATGGGCGTGTTTTTAAAATGCCGACAACAACATTGAAACCATTGGTGGATGGGTGTCAAGTGTTAATGCAAGGGTCATTAGCAAAAAACACAGCGCCAAAGCAGCAGTAAATAGGTTAGCCTTAGTAACAGCAAATGGGGGGAGTAACTTTGTGTCAAAAAATATAATATCTAGCAATACCGTTGTATAGTATTGATGATACATTGACGTACTGGTGGTTTAATTGACGTTACGAAACAAAGCATGACGTCAACTCTGGTAAATAAACAGGAACTCCACGTAAGTTGTCTTTACTTCCTTCTTGAGTTGATATAATGCTCAGGGATTGTAAAAGTCGGCCAATTTCTGCGACAACGACAACTATGAACGTATCAAGTGAGTACAAGCGAGTATTTGCTTACAGATCATAGCAACATTTTTACATTCCTCATCTTGCGTTTTCGCTGGTTTACATGCATAGATCGTGATGAACAAATGTGCACATATTATGGTATGAAATCAACGCGTACACAGTGTCGGGCAATTTATTTATGTTGGGCCAGACTACTTTTATTACACACCATTAAATAACTTGTTGTCTTTCGTAGATAATATTTGTTTTCACAACCGTGTGGGTTCGTGGTATTATATGTTAAGATTTGTATTTTTATCCCAGCAATGAAACCAACATATACAATTTCTGGAAATGCCAATGATCATGAAGTACTGCGTGAAGGGAATCAAGTCGAGGCTGAGATGGAGTCATTTCCTAATGGTACGTGTATTCACGCCACTTTGATGTCGGATATTAGTATTGTATGGGTTGTATGTGGCTGGATATTTTAGAATTTCACAAGAGAAACTTGAGGTATCTGAAATAGTCTCAGTTGTCTGTACTTTGATTAATGTTCTACTCGACAAATCCGCCAAAGTAGAGTGTAAAGCTGCGTAAAGCTCTCGCACAATAAATTGCCAGTGAATGATTACAAAACTGTCTATAAACGTTTTTCTTTTTACAGATCCGCGTGATTGGAGTACGATCGATGTGTCACAGTGGTTGTCATGGACCACGCATCGCTATAACATGGTTGCCGTCGATGTTGCCAAATTCCACATGAATGGGAAAGGTTTATCCTTTCTCCGTAAGGAGCACTTCGTATCGAGGGCGCCTTCACAGGGTGTGGTACTTTTTCAAGATTTTCGGAGAAGGCTGGTAACAGCAATTCTCGCGTACAGTGGAAATAAAACATCTATGCCATAGACAGACTGAGATTACTGAATGTAGTTAACAGTGTTAACATGTTTACAGTGAGACATTGTATATTTTATTTTATTTTATAGACGATTAATATTCACTTATTATTATTATTACTAAATTAATTATTATTATTATTATTTAAATACGGTATTTCAGAGATGGTGATTATGGTATGCATTCATACATCCAAAAATATTGACATTTTGGGGGTTTTCAATCTTAGGAGAGAAAAAACAGTACAATAACAAATCGTCGAAAACATTATAAAACTGTTTGTCTTTGAGTATTGATACACAGTGCAGGATTACTTGTCGATTACGTGTGTTGGGCTGCAGTTAATTTCACTAGATTAATTGTCAACATTGAATTATCTGTTACTATTTAGTATTAGTCAGTATTAAATGTGTCACAGCTCAAGCTGCAAGCTCCTGACGTAGAATGCACATGAAATAAAAGAGCATTTCGCCCATTGTGGAAATATATACTAGTATTATGATTTTACCCTTCCTGATGGATACTTTTAAATCGTAGATATCTTTGTTGTACACTAAATTAGAATCCTACCCGATTCCCCATGAGCAGAAAACAATGTAACGCCTATGTAGAAGAACGGGCTGCTAAAAAAGGGAATTTTGTCACAATGTTCACGTTTTCAATGCAATACCAATGACGTCATACTGAATGTTGTCAATTGTGGTGTTTTATTATCCAAAATTGCTATTCTTAATGCAGGAATATAATAAAGAAAATCAAATATCGATGAAATGTTGTAGCTCTTGCTTCCAATGTTTTATATTAACTGAATGTGTACACGACATGAATATTCAAATAATATGTTAATCTGGTCACGTTGCTACGTTACCGGGTACTTATTGATGTCTGTTTGTTCCAGGCTGCAGTTTCCAACATTAGATTTTGAGAAGTCGGTGCTCCTGATTACCCTTAGTATAAATAACCCGAACCATACTCATTGCCGTGTATTTTTAGTCGCTATTTCGACTTTAAAATGACGAATCGTTTTTCCTGATTACTTCCCTTGATGAACTGAATTGCCCCTATATTAGGTTACTCAATAACATGTACACATTGCTGTTTTCATGGGACCACAAAGAAATACGTGAATGAGATCATTAACTTCGTCGTTGTAAAGCACCTTCGTTTCAGGAAATCCTTTCTTCATTCTTTGACAGAGAAGTGTTAGTGAGATGTCTTTCGGGTGTTGGCACCGTAGGTTTAAATCACGCTCTGTATTTGTCAATGTAAGTTAAAATCATTCGCGATACGCTACTAGTGGGCATTCAAAATATAAACATGACTGCAAAAGCATAAGTGTGTTTTTGTCGAAACTCTTTGTATTGGAAATAATCATGTATGACGTTGATCAAATATTATTCACAGACTTACTTCTCAGATTGAATGCAGTATTTTGATTAATAACATACACCAAGTCACGCGTGGTAGGAAACGTTGTAATATGGAGTGAACCATTCAAGATCGGATATCGTAAACAAATGTTTTATTTGTGTGTGTGAATGGTAGTCTTAGATCACAGGGAGTTTGAAACAAAACAATGTAATTATATTTGTTTTATTTATTCTACCCCACCCCTTCACCTTCCACTATGTGACTATTCACGGGACAGTTTATTAAGTTTCTATCTCTGTATGACTCTACCATTTCACCTGTATTACCAGTGACAACGCTACCATTTATTTAATGCCTACTGAAATAAACAAGTGTGTTTTACACAATTATATTATGTGTATTTGTATGAATACTGAATGAATAAAATATTGTGTTTCCTGTAAATGAAATACAGAATACTTATATTAACATCATTGACAGTTTCCAAGTACCTATTAACTTATCACATAACATATAACATATATAGTAAAATTGTACCTAAAACGTAGTTCTTCAGAGAAAACTGAAACTACTCGTGTCTACTAACACTTCAATGAAGTGACAATAGTCAACAATGCATTATTTCTGTTAATATGGTTTATTGTTGTTTTAAAATCATTTTTGGCTGCGAGAGTTATTTACTTAATTTTGATAGATCACATTTGTTAAATGTGCTTTGTAAGTTTAGAATATCAGCACATACGTTACACATCGAGACAGGCAGGAGACAAAACGTTTCTAGAAATGAACGTTACTGTAATTTTTGTCGTGATATCTTTGAAGACGAGTTTCATTTCCTGTTATGCTGTCCACTTAATTCTGACATAAGGAAAACATACTTACCAGCTTATTATTATACTTACCAAGATCCAATTAAATTTAATAACTTAATGAAACATTATTATTATTATTATTATTATTATTATTATTATTATTATTATTATTATTATTATTATTATTATTATTATTATTATTATTAGACTGTACTAAGTCTGCACAACACAATACACGTAACTAGCGGTATATATTTTTTCTCAGGGCGACAAAATTTGGGAGCATTCTGTCTTAGTAATCAAAATGGCAAATCATACAGATGACCCAAATGTTATTTAATCAATTTTAAACTTGTTTACGTTTCAATCCGTTACTATTTTCGGCCATTGCTTGCAAATTGTCTCGTTGTAAGGTCCCGCCCAATATAGACGTCCGGTCTATATTACTAACACAATGTTAACGGATATGGGTGGATGATTTGAGTGGCGTATCCGTATGCTAGTAAACCAATTAAACATGAATCATAACGATGCATTTTTTTTTTATTTGAATGCCGATAAATTATTAGTCTCCTAAAAGAAGACTTGCTCATGATTATTTTACTTTAAATTGTACCACCCCTTGAACAACTTATTGATTGTCCAATTATTTACATGATATATACTACCTACAACAAAATCGCAAATTGCCCCACCCATCAAATATCAAAATGCTACGCCACGATTAAGGGACACTGAAGGAGTTTGGAAGAGGCGTGGAGAGTGGAGAAGCGTATGCTAGTCAATCAACTTTGCCACAAAACAGGGTCTCCAGGATTTTTTTTCCGATTGCTTTTCAAAAAACTTTCAAGAAATTTGTACAACAAAATCACAAATTGTTTTGAAGTCAAATATTACATCACCACCCCTCCGGAAAAAAACACTACTTGTCGCTTTTCCACTGTCATTATTATTTATTTATTTATTGACAACGGGTGGTGCTGAACGTTGTGTTTGTATTCGAAGCCCATATATATACACGTCAAGCTAACAGGCCACACCAACCCAGAGACTGCTCAGATAACAAAAGATCTGTACCCCCCCCCCTCCCATGTCATACTCTGTAATTACAATTCTGGTCTCCCAATAACTCCATTGTTGTTGTTCGTTATACTGTTATACATGTATTTATATGTTGATGCAGTCGTTGGATTTGGACTTCACTTCTGAACTGTTCTTGAAGCTGTAGTCTGTCACTTTGGCATTACTGATACTGTTTAGATAGTTCCATGGTTAGTCTCTGAATTTCAGAACTTTTTCTTAAGCCTTGATGGATTTCCAATCGTTCTTTTCTGATCCTATGTGTAAAGACTGTTTTGTAGCTTCTAGTAACCTATCCTTACTGTTCAACTGTTTTTGTGACAGTGAATTGTTTTATTCTCGTTAGATATTCTGCTTGCAATTTCGCCTATGTTGTTATCTCTTTTGACACCAGATAGTTTTTTGAGAATATCATCATAGCTGGCTGATAATTTTGCAACTAGTTCAGTCATCATTTAATATATTTATCATGTTTTTCTTCTATCGTTTTTATGAGTGTCTTCTATTCTAATTGGATAATAAAGATTATTATATGCCATCATCTTTGAGACAATCTAATGAGTGAAGAACTCTTCCAGGTGTCCTTCCATACAAGAATTGTCTGTTATTGCTGTAGTTGTCATGATGTCTGTAATGTTTAGCCAATGTAAGTTGACCAGTATACTTGTATTGTTTTTGTAATGAGCAATTTGAATTTTTTTGTTCTCTTTGTTATTGTACTTTGTATCAGGCGGCCATCTTGGTTTTGTATAGTAGATCTCAAACAATGTCTATTCTGCAGGTCATTTTCAAACTGAGAGAAAACATTTCTACTCTATTCTATACTAGCATGCATGTATGTCTGTACGGGGATTGTTGTTTTTAGTCTAGTCCATTCATGTATACATTGGAATGGATTGATGCAGAAATTGTGTTGAAAAAAGGTGACATTTTGAGTTTTTCTTGGAGCTGCAATGACAATGTTGTTATAGCGCTCTCAACTGCATGTAGTATATTTTGCTGTGGGCCTTGATCGCTTTATTAATGACTACATGCGTGGGTCCGAATCTTATCTGCGTCATTATAAAACCAAACCATGTGTATAACTTACACTCCAATCACAGTATAACACAATATAATACTGATGAAGTTTGTATTTTCTGCCATGACAAAGCAGAAATATTGTTGCACTCTAGTTTTTTTTTACTTCCGGGAAAGTGGTCTATCCATGTTTGTGTCATGAATTTGTTTGTGCGTATCTGTTAACCGACTTAATTAGCTGATTATTAGCGAATTGCTGTGTTATGTCTGTCATCGTTCAGGCCTATTTGAAGTTTTGGACGGAACTTGGCTCAGTGATTTGGAACTAATTACCAGATAACCGTCGCTATTCTATCGATTCTGACAGTTTATATTCATAGTTATTAATGTAGTGAACGATTAATCAAAAGATATGACGTATTCAGTGCTTAGTGTGATTGGCTTTATGATTGAAGGTTACGCCCTAGAGTCTTTTTACTTTTTTGTAATTGGTTAGAGTTTTGAAAATGAATAAAGAGAGTTTGAGTTGGTCTTGGGGAGCACAGCACGATAGACGCAGTGGAGAGTCTAGAACAGTCCTGGAGAGTCGAGTGCAGTCCTGGAGAGCCTTGGGGCGAGTGTTGACGCAGTCTAAGAAAGTCTTGGATCAGCCTTGCAAGAGTCTTGGGGATTTTTTCCCCAGGGCGCTGTGTCTTATAGAGTGCTCGATTGACCGACTAAGACGAG